TCTGAGCCAGGGTATAACTCTGTTGCCCAGGCTGGAGTGCTGTGGCAGGATCACCACGGCTCACTACAGCCTTGACTTCCTTGGGCCCAGGTGATTCTCCCACCTCAGCCTCCAAGTAGATGGGACTACAGGTGCATGCCACTACACCAAAAATTACAGATGCTAATTTTTGTGCTTTTGTAGAGACAGGGTTTCTCCATGTTGCCTAGGCTGGCCTCCAACTTCTGGGCTCAGGTGATCCTCCTGCAGCCTCCTGAAGTGCTGGGATTACAGGTGTGAGCCACTGAGCTCAGCCTTATAACACCTAGTTGAATGAGCCTCGATTTTACAGAAGAGGAAACAGATAATCAGAGAGGCTGGATGCTTTGCCTGAGGTCACACAGCTTACAAATCCCCAGGGGCCGGGTTGGGGCCCCTGCAGGTCCTTCAGCCTTGGGCCGGGGTGGGGGCGGGGGGTGGTCGCACAGCGGGAATTGCCACCAGCGCGTCGCGGCTCCACAGTGCGCTCGTCCAGGGCGCGGCTCCGGGGGGTCCCGCAGCGCCCAGCCAGCGCTTGGCACAGTCAAGACCACAGAGATGGAGAAAGGAGAGCAGGTGCGACCTTCCCCCTGCCGTCCCACGTCCCCGCAGAACGGAGTCCCTGGGGCCAGCCAGCTGGGCGCGGTCCCTCTCTCTGGCTCAGTCCCCCCACCCTGATACGTCTCCTCCTCTCAGGAGCCTCCAAGGAAGGGCGTGGGCGCTGGAGGGCAGCAGGGCTCAGCCGGGTGCCCCCTCCCGCCCGTCCCCGCCGGGGCTTGAGCTCTAATGTCGCCCGCAGGAGACAGAAGTCAAGGTGAAGTGCTGAGTACCTGGGCCGCTGCTGTTTGTGAAGCTGCGCAAACGGCACCTCCTTCAGGACGACGCCTGGTTTCTGCAAACTGGATCTTCGTGTCTAGGCCCCGGAGGACGGGGACGAGGTCCGGTTTCCCTTGGTTACCGTCTGTGGTGGAGGGCGACGGCGTCCTGAGCGGCTGCCGAGAGCAGCGCGGTGAGCGCGGGCTGGGAGTGTCAGGAGCCTCTGCGAGAAGCGACCAAAAGAACCAGAACTGGGAACCTGGAGCGCCGGTCTTTGGTGATTTGGTGTGTTATTTGTGTGTCGAAGCGGTGGCCAGGCTGCACAAGCGGAGCGCTGGGGGAAGGGCGTGCTGCGGAGCAGGCCACACAGAAGGACGGGACCGCCGCGAGAAAAGAGTCCCACGCAAAAAGTCAGCTGGCCGGAAGCCCTCCCGCGGCGCTGCCCCGACTGGCGAAACGCCAGCGCGAAGAACACGGCGGGAAGAGGAGCTGGGAAAGGAGAGAAGGGACAAGCTGTACCGGTGATGCCCTCCTCCCTGACCCCACGTGAGCTGCTGTGCTTCCAGGCACCCACGCCTGATTTCGCTTCCCGCCCCACAGGTGGGGAAACTGGAGAGATGGGTTTAATGCGAGTGTGGCTGAGCGAGAACTGAAAGCCCCCTGTGAACGATTCTGGAGACAAGAGAGTTGACTTTGAGACTTCGCTGGCCAAGGGGGTGAGAGCAGAGGGTGAGCTGGGAGAAGGTGTCCTGTCTAGTGGAAGGCCAAGCACTGCACTGCACGACGCACAAGATGCGGCTGTGGTCGCCATGTTGGAGTCTTCAAGATGGATGCTCCAAACCCTTTGCCCCATCCATGCCTGAAGGGCTGGCGGACCTTGCTATCAAAGGACTCTTAAGACGTTCTGACTCGCTGGAAGGGATCTGGATGAGCTTCAACGGATTTTCTGGTGTGGCCAGGAGCAAGCTGGCAGGTCATGCCCCCCTCCCCGATGTGTCTCCCAGGACCCTTACCCCAGATCCCACCCACCCAGGGGAAATTGAAAGCAGCAGCATGGGGAGGACCCAGAGACTGTTGGGTCCCACTGGTGGGCTGGAGTCAAGGGGGCATGGTGGGGGGGATTGGAAGGGGACAAGAGGCTCAGATCCCACAACTTGCAAACAACTGGGGGGCCCCCCCCCCTTCCCCAGAGCGGCTGCGGGACTCCTGGGAAGGAAGATGCCTTATTTGGGTACCAGTTTCTTACGGCCGCCAACCCCATGTTTGCTGAGGCGCTCGGGTTCAACTTCCTGCTTTCCGGCCTCGTGTTCCCTCCAGGCATGGGAGGAACTGGTCTAGTGTTCTATGTCTGTTTGAGAAGGAGCTGGAGGTAACGGACAATCAGAGCCCTAGGAGGCTCCAACAGTGTTTCAGTGCGGTTTTTTTGGGTCTCAGAGGCTCAATGATGCTGCTGCCACCACTGGGCCGCGCGCCAAGCAGCAAAGGCGGGATTCGGCAGGAGAGGCCTGAGGGATCCTGGAGAAGCCAGCGGTCCGTCCTTCCCCCTACCACTTGATGAGTAGCTGCAGGAGTGGAGGGCGTGCATATGTTGGAATGGTTGATAGAAAACAGGTCAAATGAAGAAACGTGACTGCCCTGGTGGCTAGGGATTCGGGAGTGGCAGAGGTATATGATGTAATCAGGGTCTGGAGTTCGGGGCTGTTAAATCAGGAGGCGGACATGGGGCCGGGGTACGGTGGCTCAAGCCTGTGAATCC